TCCCACCCCCAATGCACCACCACCACTGGTTCACCCACTATCAAGGGAAGAAGAAGATTTAGAGTAAAACTGTACAAGTGTCCCAATACCCTCATAAAGTACTCCGTTCTTAGCTTCAATTGCAAAACCCTGACTCACCAAATTGGCAAACGAGAAAAACATTGCCCTTTTGGTCATCCCAAAATGTAACTCCAAAGACCAAATTTTCTGGATTACCCAATGAACACCGATCAAACCCACAACACAAATCGAAAATCTGTAATCATAACAGAAAAATCACCAACAATTGCGTCGCCGATTCGGATCTCTGAGGTGAAGAAACATCCGATCACCCATTCTCTCTCTTCCTACCCACATTCTATATGATTTTCTACTATATATTTTCATAGAGAGATTGCTGCTCTCCTTCTCACCCCTGTAGTCGTAGCAATAACCCTTTAATATAATTCCCAACCTCATATATTTTTTATTTGGATAATTATCATTTGGTAGAATTACACCTAAACCCTTGAAGTTTGATACTTAATCACTCAAATTTCCTAATATTTAAAATATTACACACAAAACCTCTGAGATTTTTACGCGCATAACACTTAGACTCTTGCTATAAAAATATTACTTAATAAATTACTTTTATACCCTCCTAAAATTTGTAAATATATAATACTTAACCCCTTTAAATTTAAGGGTTAATCTCATTTTGCACCCCGAAAGATTGTTCGAATCTCAATTTGCACCCTCAAAGATCAAAAATCTCAATGTACACCCTCAAAGATAGAAATTTGTATCAATGTGCACCCCCAAAGATCAAAAATCTCAATTTGCACCTTCAAAGATAGAAATTTATATCAATGTGCACCCCAAAGATAAAAAATCTCAATTTACACCTTCAAAAATAGAAATTTGTATCAATGTGCACCTAAAACCTAAATTGATAAATTATACCTAGATCCCCCTCATACTTGTCACTTAATCATTTAGACATCTTTACATTTAGAATATTACTCCTACATCTTATGACATTTGTACACGTATAACACGTAACCCATTTTCATTGATATCTATTAATATAACCGTTAAAATATTATATTTAGACAAAAAATACTCTAATCAAAGATAAAATATCAAATATTTTAAATTTTAAAACCAAAAGTCATGTTCTATTGTATCATTTATTGAAATAAAATCAAAAATAAAATTTTAATTTTTTTTAAAAAAAATCATAATTACTATGCAATGTTATTATCTATTAGAATTTAAATTGTCCATTAAAATTTAATTTGGTCATTTAAATGACCAAATTAAAACACCAAACTATCTCAATTAAAGTTAAAAGATATTGTATCCATTACAGTTTGACCAATTGTTAATTTTTTAGTTTTATTCTAATAAATAGTATAATTATATATTAATTATGATTTATTTTTTTAAAAAAAACTAGACTTTTTTTTTTATTTCATTAAATGTTATAGTAGAACATGAATTTTGTGTTCTATTATGAATTACTTAGACCACTTGTTTAATTTTTTAGTTTTATTCCAATAGATAGTATAATTATATACAAATTATGATTTTTTAAGAAAAAAATATATTTTTAATTTTAATTTTATTTCAATAAATGATACAATAGAACACGAATTCTGGTTGCAAAATTTAAAATATTGATATTCTATCTTTGATTGGAGTTTTTTTGGTCTAAGTATAATATTTTAAACTTAAGTATTATATACCTACAAACTTCAGAGGGTCTAAGTATAATTTATTAACAGATATATTTTAAGTAGTCTAAGTGTTATGTGCGTACAAATGTCAAGGAGTTTTTGTGTAATATTTCAAATGTCAGGGGTTTAAGTGATTAAGGAACAAACTTCAGGGGTCTGGATATAATTCTCCCTTATCATTAACACCCTCTAAATAAACATATTTTCAATGTTACCTCCTCTAGATAGATTTATCTTCAATGAAACCCCTTATTATTTGAAACATCACTAACACTCCCGGTCAGATTAGTGGTGTTAACTAGAACTTTCTGTCTTCAATTAGATCCCCTTTATTATTTGAAATATCACTAACATTTCTGTTAGATTAATGACATTAATTAGAATGCAATTTTATTAAATTGCTCACGATATATATTAGAAAAATTTTCATTCATACCACCTATGAATAGATATATCTTCAATAAGACCCCCTATGTTTACTAAAATTTTTTACATATTAAAATTCTATTCGAGCTAATTAAAATTTATTTTTACGAATTAAAATTTGAGTCGAATAAAAATTTTATTTTTACTTATTAAAAATTGAGTCAATTAAAATTTAATTCAAGCTAATTAAAATTCATTTTAATCAGTTCGAATCGAATTTTAAACAACTTGAATTGGATTTTAACCGGTCTGAAATTTGATGCATAAAAAAAATATAAATTTTAATACGTAAAAAATAAATTTTAATCAACTTGAATCGAATTTTAACTGGCTGAATTTTATACATATAAAAATATAAGTTTTAAACTATTTGAATCGAATTTTAATTAGCGTTGGTAGTTCAGGTTGAGCTTGAATCACCTCGAATTTTAATACCTTTCAAAAAACAGAAATTTTAATAGGATCAAATTTAATACGTAGAAAAATAAATTTTCATTAATCTCATTAAAAATATATCTATCTAAAAAAGATAATTTTACTGGGTCAAGTCCAATAAAAATAAGCCGAAATAGTCCAAAGAAAAGTCCAACAATAGATGGATCGACCAAGGAGTCAAATGAGAGACCAAACTCATCCTCAAAGGGGACGCCGCCCAAGGGACCAAATGGGTGACGCCCAGGGTGCCCAAGGGGCGCCACCCATGAAGGCTCCAAGTGGACGCCACCCATGTGGCCTCAATTGGACGCCATCCATGCCTTGCCCATCCTCCCTTCCTCACTTTACTCCAATGCAAGTTCAAGATCACTCCGGGTCCAACCCCAAAGTCAAGTATAAGCTCAGTCCACTTCAAGACCCTCCTCCGAAAAAATAGAAGCACGAGGGAGAAAACACCAGGATAAGCACGGAGATCTCCTACCATAGTTGTACTTACTAAAACAGTAGAAGTCTTCCTCCTCATATCACCGTCTCACCGCCTCATCACACCTATATAATGTAAGCCCTCTCCATATAAAGGACAGATGCTCTCATAACCTAGAGATCCCTACACACACTACACCTTCCTACACACAATGTTCTCTCTCTCTCTCCAAAGCACTGTAATACACTGGAGTGACTCTCTTGGTGACAGTGTTCATTAATAAAACGCCCCAGGTCACCGTCATCATTCTCGAGAGTGAACGTAGATCACTTTGACCGAACCACTATAAATCTCTGTGTTGGTTGCTTATTTATTATTTTTGTCCATTGATTGTCGTTGATTGCTCATTAATCACACCCGTTAATATCCTTGACTGTTGATCTTGTACAAGTCAATTTTGTTCATCATCAGTTTAGCGTTATCTGTGGGAAAGACTAATTTCCTACTCTCACGCAATCCATAGCAATCACTACTTGATCAATGAGCCAGCAATCAAGAGACAACAACCCAGCTCACCAGGACGAGGCTTTACCTCCCACTGCACCTATGGAACCATCCGCTACTACCACTCCCGCCGCTGGACAGCAGCAACAACTCCTCCAGACCATGAAGCTGCTGGTGAGCCAAAATCAGCAAATCATCCAACTCATGCTCTCCCAAGGAGGCGTCGCCCCTCCCCTCGCAGGAGGAGTCCCACTCCCTCCACTGGGAGAAGAACAACTGCCTATCCCTCTTGGGCGCCAAACAGCCCCCACAATGGGGCCCCTCGCCAGACCACTACGGGACCACGTCAGGGCGTTCCTCATCTAACCCCACCTCAGTGCGCAGGGAGTTCTCAAGTGCC